GGTCGAATAAAGCACAAGAGCTGTTGATGAATGATGCTGTGGCCTAGTGGTTAAGGCTACGGCCTGCCAAGTTGTAAGCCTAGGTTCGAATCCTGCATGGGAAAGGTGCGATTTTTCCCACCGAAATTATTCTTTAATTTAAACTTCATCGAAAAGGATTAGGTCAAATAAAGAACAATAGCTTTCGACAAATGACGCGGTGGTCTAGTGGTTAAGAGTCTGGTCTACCAACCCCAGGACAAGGGTTCAAGTCCTGGCAATGCAAAAAAATTAGCCTGGAAAATTTCGGTATGATTTGCAAGCTTGAAAAAGTTAAGACTCTCAGCTTTCATAAAGGCTGTAAATTTGAAAGAATTTGGAAGTAAAAAAAAATTGAGAAACATTTGAACAATATTCGCTTCATAAAAGTACGTGAAATTGACAAAAAAAACGCAAGTCAAAAAAAGAATTAAAAACATGTGGCTTCTAAAAACACTGAAAATTAAAAAATATCCGACTAAAAATTTAAAAAAAGTTTAAAAATTTCCCGCCTTTAATGCTAATGTTTACTTACCTCAATAATTTTTTTTCACGAAAATTTGACAGGGTGATTTTCACGAGACTGAAAAAATTTACATTTTTTCACTTTTTTGAAATTCTCTTAGATATTTTTTTTATCAAGAAGTATTATGTCTTGGGCTACCTGTGTCAAGCCAGACACAGGTAGCCCAAGACAGACACAGGTAGCCCAAGACATAATACTTCGTCTAAAAAGAAATTTTCGTCCTCAAAAAGATTTTTTCACTTTTTTAAAATTCTCCGAAAATTTCTTTTTAGACGAAGTATTATGTCTTGGGCTACCTGTGTCTGTCTTGGGCTACCTGTGTCTGGCTTGACACAGGTAGCCCAAGACATAATACTTCTTGATAAAAAAAATATCTTTTTATATTTTTTTTTTACTTGCGTTTTTTTGTCAATTTCACGTACTTTTAAGAAGCGAAAATTGTTCAAATGTTTCTCAATTTTTTTTTACTTCCAAATTCTTTCAAATTTACAGCCTTTATGAAAGCTGAGAGTCTTAACTTTTTCAAGCTTACAAATCATACCGAAATTTTCCAGGCTAATTTTTTTGCATTGCCAGGACTTGAACCCTTGTCCTGGGGTTGGTAGACCAGACTCTTAACCACTAGACCACCGCGTCATTTGTCGAAAGCTATTGTTCTTTATTTGACCTAATCCTTTTCGATGAAGTTTAAATTAAAGAATAATTTCGGTGGGAAAAATCGCACCTTTCCCATGCAGGATTTGAACTTAGGCTTACAACCTGATAGGCCGTAGCCTTAACCACTAGGCCACACCATCATTTATCAACAGCTCTTGTGCTTTATTCGACTTAAATCCTATTCGCAGAATTTTAAATTAAATAGCAATTTTTACGGGCGAAAAATTGCACCTCTCTCTTGCAGGATTCGAACCTACGCTCACAACCTGGTAGGGCGGTAGCCTTAACCACTGCGCCACCGCATCCTGTGCTGATACTTACCATAAAATAATACATTTTAATGCTTGAAGACAAAATTGACGACTTTTTCAATGTTCCAAAAACCAACCAAATATACTCTAAAATGAAAGATAGTAGTCTTAAGAAGCTAATTTTAGCATTTTAAAACAGTTTTTGAACAGTTGAAAAGTCTTCAAAATTGAACAAAATGGTAAGGGGTAAGCCTTACCACTTTGCTCAATTTTGACGACTTTTTCGATGTTCCAAAAACCAACCAAATATGCTCTAAAATGAAAGATATTAGCCTTAAAAAGCCATTTCTAGCATTTTAAGACCGTTTTTGAAGAGTTGAAAAAGTCGTCAAAATTGACCAAAATGGTAAGGGGTAAGCCTTACCATTTTGCTCCATTTTGACGATTTTTCAATGTTCCAAAAACCAACCAAATCTGCTCTAAAATGAAAGATATTAGTCTTAGGAAGCCATTTTTAGCATTTTAAGACAGTGTTTGAAGAGTTGAAAAAGTCGTCAAAAATGACTAAGGGGTAAGCCTTACCATTTTCCTCCATTTTGACGATTTTTCAATGTTTCAAAAAACAACCAAATATGCTCTAAAATGAAAGATGGTAGTCTTAGGAAGCTATTTCTAGCATTTTAAGACAGTTTTTGAACAGTTGAAAAAGTCGTCAAAATTGACCAAAATGGTAAGGGGTAAGCCTTACCATTTTGGTCAATTTGACGACTTTTTCAATGTTTCAAAAAGCAAATAAATATGCTCTAAAATGAAAGATATTAGTCTTACGAAGCCATTTTTAGCATTTTAAGACAGTGTTTGAAGAGTTGAAAAAGTCGTCAAAATTGACTAAGGGGTAAGCCTTACCATTTGCTTCATTTTGACGATTTTTCAATGTTCCAAAAACCAACCAAATATGCTCTAAACTGAAAGATATTAGTCTCAGGAAGCCATTTCCGGCATTTTAAGTCAGTTTTTGAACAGTTGAAAAAGTTGTCAAAATTGACCAAAATGGTAAGGGGTAAGCCTTACAATTTTGGTCAATTTTGACGACTTTTTCAATGTTTCAAAAAGCAACTAAATATGCTCTAAAATGAAATATATTAATCTTAGGAAGCCATTTTTAGCATTTTAAGACAGTGTTTGAAGAGTTGAAAAAGTCGTCAAAAATGACTAAGGGGTAAGCCTTACCATTTTCCTCCATTTTGACGATTTTTCAATGTTCCAAAAAAACAACCAAATATGCTCTTAAATGAAAGATAGTAGTCTTAGGAAAGTATTTTTAGCATTTTAAGACAGTTTTTGAACAATTGAAAAAGTCGTCAAAATTGACCAAAATGATAAGGGGTAAGCCTTACCATTTTGGTCAATTTTGACGACTTTTTCAATGTTTCAAAAAGCAACTAAATATGCTCTAAAATGAAAGATATTAGTCTTAGGAAACCATTTTTAGCATTTTAAGACAGTGTTTGAAGAGTTGAAAAAGTCGTCAAAATTGACTAAGGGGTAAGCCTTACCATTTGCTTCATTTTGACGATTTTTCAATGTTCCAAAAAACAACCAAATATGCTCTAAAATGAAAGATGGTAGTCTTAGGAAGCTATTTCTAGCATTTTAAGACAGTTTTTGAACAGTTGAAAAAGTCGTCAAAATTGACCAAAATGGTAAGGGGTAAGCCTTACCATTTTGGTCAATTTTGACGACTTTTTCAATGTTTCAAAAAGCAACTAAATTTGCTCTAAAATGAAAGATATTAGTCTTAGGAAGCCATTTTTAGCATTTTAAGACAGTGTTTGAAGAGTTGAAAAAGTCGTCAAAAATGACTAAGGGGTAAGCCTTACCATTTTCCTCCATTTTGACGATTTTTCAATGTTCCAAAAAAACAACCAAATATGCTCTTAAATGAAAGATAGTAGTCTTAGGAAAGTATTTTTAGCATTTTAAGACAGTTTTTGAACAATTGAAAAAGTCGTCAAAATTGACCAAAATGATAAGGGGTAAGCCTTACCATTTTGGTCAATTTTGACGACTTTTTCAATGTTTCAAAAAGCAACTAAATATGCTCTAAAATGAAAGATATTAGTCTTAGGAAACCATTTTTAGCATTTTAAGACAGTGTTTGAAGAGTTGAAAAAGTCGTCAAAATTGACTAAGGGGTAAGCCTTACCATTTGCTTCATTTTGACGATTTTTCAATGTTCCAAAAAACAACCAAATATGCTCTAAAATGAAAGATGGTAGTCTTAGGAAGCTATTTCTAGCATTTTAAGACAGTTTTTGAACAGTTGAAAAAGTCGTCAAAATTGACCAAAATGGTAAGGGGTAAGCCTTACCTTTTTGGTCAATTTGACGACTTTTTCAATGTTTCAAAAAGCAAATAAATATGCTCTAAAATGAAAGATATTAGTCTTAGGAAGCCATTTTTAGCATTTTAAGACAGTGTTTGAAGAGTTGAAAAAGTCGTCAAAATTGACTAAGGGGTAAGCCTTACCATTTTCCTCCATTTTGACGATTTTTCAATGTTCCAAGAAACAACCAAATATGCTCTTAAATGAAAGATAGTAGTCTTAGGAAAGTATTTTTAGCATTTTAAGACAGTTTTTGAACAGTTGAAAAAGTCGTCAAAATTGACCAAAATGATAAGGGGTAAGCCTTACAATTTTGGTCAATTTTGACGACTTTTTCAACGTTTCAAAAAGCAACTAAATATGCTCTAAAATGAAATATATTAATCTTAGGAAACCATTTTTAGCATTTTAAGACAGTGTTTGAAGAGTTGAAAAAGTCGTCAAAATTGACTAAGGGGTAAGCCTTACCATTTTGCTCCATTTTGACGACTTTTCAATGTTCCAAAAACCAACCAAATATGCTCCAAAATGAAAGATAGTAGTCTTTCAACTGTTTAACAATTCTCTTAAAAAGCTAAAAATAGCTACCTAAGACTAATATCTTTCATTTTAGAGCATTTTTGGTTGGTTTTTTAAAATTGAAAAATCGTCAAAATTGACCAAAATTGTAAGGCTTACCCCTTACCATTTTGGTCAATTTTGATGACTTTTTCAACTGTTCAAAAACTGTCTTAAAATGCTAAAAATTGCTTCCTAAGACTAATATCTTTCATTTTAGAGCATATTTGGTTGGTTTTTGGAAATTGAAAAATCGTCAAAATTGACCAAAATGGTAAGGCTTACCCTTACCATTTTGATCAATTTTGATGATTTTTCAATGTTTCAAAAAGCAACCAAATATGCTCAAAAACCAAGGATATTAGTCATAGGATGCCTAATAAAAAGATATTAATATTGGCACTCCACAGCCTAGAATCACTGGGTACGGACTTACCACTTCCATCTCTTAACCCCCACTCCGTCGTAGCTGCTCTACTTACATTTTCTGGCACACTTAAACATATCTGACACTTCCATGTAGTACATTGGAAAAATAATAATAGTTATAGGTTGAATATGTATTAATATATTATCCAAATTTAGTTAAGGAATGAAATGAATTAAGATATTCTGGCGGGTTTTTTTTTTTTTCACCGGAATCATTCTTTACTGTCTTTACTATTTTAATACCAGTTCAAGAGCGGTATATTTTTTGCGCCTCTTATAAACGTTCCAAAAACGAACTAAATATATGCTCAAAAACCAAAGAGGTCAGTCATAGGTTAGTAATAGCTTAGTTTCCCTCGTGAATCCAGTGATGTTTTAAAAAATTCAATAAGTTACTAATCATCATCAAGACGTCGTCCTTGCCCCCAAGCGTGACGTCCACCGCCCGCATTACCATCATCCGTTGCCCGTCTGCTTGCCGGTGGCATGCCAAACCCTGACACACCCCCACGACGGTTGGGTAACAATTTGTATCTAAAAGGAGGTGGTATTTTAAAAGATATAGTTACTGTAAAAGCATACTCACTTAATATCTCTCTCAATGTTTGTTGGTTAACTGTATATTTGCATATTTCCTGTTGCGCAAAAAAGCAAAGTTGCTCAGGTGGCTGGAAACCAGAACAGTTATTCAAATTTCAAAAAGTTGCTTAAAAGTTTCTGAGCACAAATGGGAAAGGCCTAGTGAGAGTGAGGCAGGCAAAAAGTCGACACCTACTTTACCACAATCTACGTAAGTACAAAAGTTGAATCAATTATATTCAAAGAAATGAATTTTTTACGTACAGGATGCCAGGAGTGCTTAGGAATCTGGCTCCACCAAAGTCTTGTGGATATTTAAACATAAGGAAGAAATAGAGATGACCAACAAATATCCCAAGAATTTCCTTCATACCACTAAATATAAGAAGAAAGAAGATTATATACTTCAAATACCTTTATATAAATGTATGTGAAAATACAACATGCTAGTGAGGGTCAAAATTTGATCTTAAAACATAAAGTTTCATTATATTCTTTCATTCTTCTTTCAGTAAACTTACCCTCCACCAACAACCATATTGAAAATGGCTAGAACCCAGGGTAGGTACATTGCCTAGACAGAGAGAGAGTGGATACTAGCTGTTACTTCAACCATCGACAGTTTTGTTATTTTCCATAATCCCTTCTAGTTGCACCCAGCTTTTATTAATTCACTTGCCTTAAATTGCATGCCAAACCAAAATTGCACTATCATATCCCGATTGATTTGACACCAAACATACAGAACACTCAACACAAGAGGATCCATAAGGAACTAAAATTGACAGAAACATCCGTGTTTACAGCATCGATATTTGTATCTTTACTCTTTGTCTTAAGATTCACTCTGAGGAACCAACCTTAGTATATTAGCTATGTCTAAAGCCACTAAACACCAATTTAAAAAAAAATTGCTTGAATGTTCAACAATATGTATATACTTACAAAAAGGTTAACAAGAAAGCCAATTATCTGTTGTGGATATAAGTCAAGAAAAAGCAATGATGGCACAGAATTGAAGTGAAACAGATCAATTCAATGAACAACATTCAAGACGGATTCTATATTTTTTGTGGGTTGACAAATGATTGTGGAATGCTGTGGCTCTGAAATGAATGGTCGAGAGACAACCACTTTCAGTAAACTATTATTTTTCCTATGCATCAGAAAAGGATACAATCAAAATTATGCAATTGAATATCAGCATGAAGAGGTGATCCGCAGGCCTTCCATCAAATAAACCTACAATAAACAACCATTTCTACGTCATGGAGGTTGTTACAAGTTACTGGGGGTTGTTACAAATTACTGGGGGTTGTTACAAGTCACTGGGGGTTGTTACAAGTTACTGGGGGTTGTTACAAGTTACTGGGGGTTGTTACAAGTTACTGGGGGTGCACACTCCCTTAGCCTAGTCCAGAAGGGGTACACAGAAATGCATTTTAAATACCTGATTCCAGCCGTCGTGAATAACTGTAGAGGAAATATAAATTGATCAAATAGTGAAAACCAGTTTGAGGAGAAAGTGGATAGAACACAATACATGTGAACAATCTCCAAAACTAAAAGAAAATGTGTTTTTTATGAGGAATGTATACATACAAAAATGTTGTGAATTAGCTAATCAGGTACTAGGTCTAAGGACTGATTGTGTGTTCAACTCCTGAAGCAAAATTAATATTGTGATGCTGAATTAATATTGTGATGGTGCCAACTCTGGGTTGGCAACCAGGCTAGCTGGAAAATTAGCTTTCTCCAATTTTCAAGCTGATTTTTAGCACCATCACAATGTGCATTGCAATGCAATGCTATGCTTTTCAGTAGCGTAGCCAGCATCAATAATTAGGGGCCCATATTCATATATTTATGTTAATTAATGGACTGTAAAGACAATTGATTTCAAAAGGAACTATTTTCGCACAACATGAATATGGGATCCCCACTGATGCTTTTATGCATAAAATTTGGATTAATTCAATGCATACAATCCATAGATGTTTCGCATTCACAAGTGCACTCAGTACCCTTCTCTATTGAAAAACAGTGAAATGCCTTAATTCTAAATTTTTTTCCTACACACGCAAAGGGGTGTAAATGTGGAAGTTCAGATATTTATATCAAGTTACTCTTTTAACTTTACCTGAAATTTATACACAACCAAGTCGAAATTTAAGAACATGTACATGACATTAAGGACGCCAAATCGTCCGAGCAATGTGAACACAACCGACAAACTGAACCACCATCTTGTGACAACAGGTATGCTCCTAAACCAATCTCCAAGTTCGTTTTCTGCTGGCATTTTTCACGTATAACTGTCTTAAACGGCCTTATTGTCGTATCCTTTTATTGATAATGATGTAATATACAAAATTATCTATTTATAATGCCTCAATTTAGATGAAGACGTGGCTTTTTACAATTTGTTTCAAATTTTTACATTTTTCATCCTTTTTCATCTGGCCCAGAGCCTGCGATCGGTTGGAGATACTTTATGTTACCCTTTATATAATATTGCATTTAGGTGGACATTGTCACAAAAATACTACCAGAAAGGAAACTCCATTGTTTTTTGACGAATCTAGTCTGCTAGTAGAGTATCGTTTACTTTGTTTCCTTATTTCCTTTCCTTAGTTGATTTTGGCTGACGTGAAACGTCGTCACCAAATTTGGATAATGTTGGTAAGAGATATCATATTACATACCTGGATATCCAACCTTCACGGTCTATTCCACCTTCGCTAATTTTTAACTACCGCAGTCGAGTATACCACAAACGGCTGCTTGTGTAAATATCTAACAGCATTTAATCGGCTGAATTTCGGCAATTTTTACATCTCAGAAACAGAGTACCACATAGTTATGATCGACCCATCAAATTACAGTATCATACACTAAGAAAAAAGCTTCGCGTATTGTTCCCTGATGCATTAAATAATTTTCGTTACGGGGGTATGTTTGAGCACTGTGGTTCGAGTTATTCGAATGTGTATTGTCGATCTACAGATCACTTTTCCAAGTGCAAAATAGCATTCTTCCCATCTTCTAGAAGCGTGTGCGTTTAGTTATAGTCCTATAAAAGTTGATCTTCCAGAAGGATTGTGTATCGGAATGGGATGTGGTTTGGATATGCACCATTCGTACCAAATTTTCGTTCGAGACACCTTCCGCCAACAGTGAACTCGAAGCGAAGAGTTCTCTGTCAAGTATATGGGATGCTGGAATTGGAAAATGAAAAAAAAATCAAAGATCAATTCGAGTTATGCCAAGCGAAAATTCAAACATCGCTTTGCTTGAAACTTTTACCTGAACGGGAAAAAATATCGGAAACCAGCTGAACATGCCTTCTGAATGGTCAGCAGGAACTATACCTTTTGAGATAAAGAAAAATTATCGAGATGTTTTTCATTTTCTAGCTTCGATAGAAACTTGAATTTCAACAGTGTCTCTTGTACAGAATTTTGGCAAAATTTTGCCATTTTATAGGATTTGCGTGTAACTTACTTAAAAAAAGATCTTTGTACAAAACAGTTCGGAAAAATCCAGCAAACCCGTGAATTAAGCATGTATTCTGAATATCAAAATCGATCGCTGTCGACCGACTGTTGTCTATGGGGACATCTGAAAAATAAATATCAATGTATGGGACGTGCTGTGGAAGTAATGAGAGGGGGGGGCTTGGGGCAGGATCCCCTCCACTCCTACTTTCAGAACAATTTACGGCGGGAGAAAGATAAATATGTTTCTTCAGTGAAATTACCTTTATTTGGGTGAGAAAAATAAAAACAAGGTTTTGGTTCAGCCACAATATCGACATTGCATAAACGTACGACGTATGGGGTCTCGAATGGAGCCTGCAAGAATCACATTGATACTTCATCTTACATTTAGTCGTCAGTTCAGCTTGGACTCAGCCTGGAAACAACCAATAGAAATTCCAATAGCATATGCACCAAAGCTAACCTGTGGTCCTTTATTCGGTTCTCTGCATTGAGACACTTCGTAATGAAGTTTCGCTGACGAAAGAGGGGCCAAATACGACGTGTAGGACTCTGGGATTGAAATGCCGTCATCTAAATATCACAGACAGAAATGGTTAACAATTTTAACGACCTAAACAGAAGTCAACTAACCAGAAGTCAACTACCTAAGAAATTACCTTTTAAGTAACGCTGAGCGCCGTCCAAGCACTCTGGGGAGAGTTCATTGTCCCCAAATGATCCCAGCAATTCACTGACCAATATGTCTGCCTTCTCGGGAGCGGTCCAGTCTCTCATATCAGATGAAACGACAATGACCTTATCTCCCCATTCCTCTTGCTTCAGTGTGAGCAAACTAGGAAAACATGAAACTTTGTTCACCTCTAGTGAGGATCATCTTCTACTGTTCTATTGTTCTACCTAAAGTACGTGGTAGTAAGGATCATCTCTTACTATTCTACTTAGAGATCATCCCATATTGATCCAGTGTTACTACAGGAGGAAACCAGTATATTAATTGTACCAACATTAATCTATCTAGATGACTTATGGAAGACTTATGAATATATGAACATACGTTACAATGGCATTTGGGTTCTTCTCAATGGCATACACTTTAATAGCACGGCCACAGGCTTGACTTGCAGCGAAAGATGCTCTGACTAACGGTCCACGACCCGCACCAACAACCATTAAAATACTAAAGCAAAAATAATCATTGTTAACACCCAAATAGGTATTGGACCAATTCCAGAGTGTGCAATACTCAGAGCTATATATATTGCTTTTAGGTTCAATTTGAGACACACGAATTTCACAACAAAACATTAAGTCATTACCTATCTCAGTTTTTAAAACTTACGTTGTGATAGACTCCTTTTGGTCTTCCGGTACTCTGTCTATCAATGCTTGCCGAACTGCCTTAAAATTGTATTGAATAAAATTGTTGCTTCCAGCTACAAAATCACTGTTAACTCATTAACTGACAGTGCTTGTCCACTGATGAGTAAAATAATCTTGCATTTGACAGAGTAAAATACTAAAGTAGGGCTTTGGCATTGCAAGCTATTTTTGCTATGATTTACAGTACCATTTTCGTCTTTGATGCACCAATGCAAATGATTGGAAAGTTATGAATATTCTGTTGCATAGGTGTGTTATTTGTATATCAGTAACTTATTCACTTACTCACATAATAAGTAATTACAGTATATTACCTCTTGATACTGGTTGTATTTTACCGGGTCTTTTTCAAACACTTCGTAAGTTTGGGATTCAAGGTTGTCCATAAGAGGCTATTCAAAGTTAAAGCAAAACTTCTAAGAACCATGTGATGAAAATGCAAAATGAACTTAGCATCATAGAACTGCTCTACCTGCAAGGGGCATTGTAAATAATCTTCGTAGCCTTTTGAGAATTGACTGTAACAATCAAGAGGTGGTCTGGTCTGAAAGAAAACAACAATGTTGACTGAATTTGAAGATTTCCCACATATATCACTATAAAATACAGAATGACAGATCCAGTACAATGTATAGATTGGAAATACCCACATACCAAATACAGATGATCAATATACTGATAATATGTAACCATTCCTTTGTCGAGCATCTTGTTTGATCCAGAAATAACAAACTGGACATTAAACTAAAACAATACAACATATATGAAATTATTTATAAATTCAGACTGAATTCACATTTCATACCGGACTCTTACATTAGTAGCATTGCTACAGAGTCCTCTACAAATTCTTCTGAAACCTAATTTCTTTATATTTCCCACAGTACCTTAAATAATTGTCCTATAAATTGCTGATGTGGTCTTGGTAGGACAGGATATCCTATGGTTAAGAAAGCAATAATTATATGAATTGTATATAAATGCATTCATTCAAGAAACATTTATTTCCTTACCTTTCTTATTTGTAAGGAATATTTTGGTTGGTATAATCAAAGTTCGGATTGGTTCTCCAAGCCATCTTTTTATTTCCTTTGCTCTTGGCAGCTCCTTGCATATTTCTAAAGCTGTTTTCAAAATGTGTTATCACGCATGATCAAATATCAATTCAGAACGTCAAGTGTGTAATAGTTTTATACCTAGCCCGACTTTTCTTGTGTTGTGACATAATGTTCGAAAAGAATTCCACCTGAAAATACAAGTTGAAAAACCTTGCCAGTTCAAAAGCTGTGGTTCAAATAAACAAAACCAGAGCACTTGCAACATTTTAAATCCGACCACATACCATTCCCAAGGGTCATTATTAATTTCACATTCATTCTATGAACAAAGTGATAAAAGCAATGAAAGTTAATTGGCCCATTTACATATACCTGGTAAAATTAACAACAGCCAATTAAATGATCTAGTCTTAAACATAGCCAGCTTACTTACTTTTCTATTATTGTCATTTTCAAACAATGAGTTGTCTACTTGGCTGGCTGGCGATTTCATCGGAACTCGAATCCAAAACTAAACAATTGAAAAACATTTTAAAATTTGGCTGGTGCAAATTTGCCGAAATGTCCACAAAATAGATAAAACTGCTTTTAAACCTGCTGCACGTGCGAGTCAAAACAAATCCCGTTGATCAGAGCAGCAAGATTCGTACATGGCTGCTTTGTCAGGTTGACCATGATTGCAGGCAGGCCAAGATGAACTGCAAAAGCAATTTCTTGCAACAAAGCCTGGGTAAAGATTGGAGAATAACATGTTCAGTTGCATCATGGAGAAACTCTAAAATTGACAAGCCACGCAACAGTTGAGATAAGATTTAATCACACACTTGTTCTGAATTCTTTCTCTCCACATCGTCACTTGAATCAGTGTTTATCCACGGCGATACCTTCCCAACAACAAGTGTGTTCCAATCTGTGTTACATGGATTCATTTAAACATTATCAAGAGTATGAATTGTAATGTAACCAAAGACAGTGGAGAAGAACCTTTTTAAACTCTGACGTACATGAACATACCCTGACTAGGAAGAAGCAGGTCCGATCTGGTGAATGGCCGACTTCTCAAACATACTGGTTTAATGTACTCTCGTTTGAATCTGGGATGGGCAATAGGCAGACATATGAAATGGAATCTAGATAATATATAATAAATAGCAGAATTACAAGAGCTAATTACAAAGTTAGTCAACATCTTCTTCCAACTTTGGAATCGACATGATCCCAATATTGTAAGATTATGTGGAATGCCTGGGGAACTACCCTGGAACAACCCATCCTAATGACCTAACCCAAACCAGACCCCACCAGAACCCAAACAATTTACTGAGGTATAGATTGAATGATCTCTTTAATGCAATCAAAGATCATCAACACTAGAAAAGCACACTTACTTATCGGAAGCGCTGGAATTCAAGGCTTGTGATAAATCAGGGACGGAGAAGAAATCTCTGCCACACGATATATGAGAGGCATCTGCCATTTTCTAAATTCTAACACACGTGTTTTTTAATTCGAAGCATTTGAAATATTTCCAGATATTTTTAGCGCCAAAAAATCGCGATATTTTTGGCGGTCAAATATGGCTGCAAAGTTTGGTTTAAATTTTAGGATTTCGGCTAAAAAAATCGAGATTTTACAGCGTTTTACCTTCTGTACTCTCACAGCGGCTGGCGAGAAGTTTGATAGAAGTCTTTTGGACATTTTAGTGTGTCCTCTCTCCAAAGAGCCACTAAGGTGCTTCTTTTAAATTACACTTTAATACAATTTGTGAGATATAATTATATAACCTAAGTGCTAGATTCTAGTACAACTATTAAAGAATCATTTCTAATTTTAGATATGATGAGGAAACCAATGAACTAAAAAATGATAAACTGAATGTCGCCTACTCTGTTCACAATGGCATTCCAAACTTGAATCCGGTTAATGCTCGGAAAACAGACACCCAAAAGAAATAGAAGGAAAAAACAAACAAAGTTCACAGAAGTTGATAAAGAGAATATATTCATTTTTATTTGTATTTTGAATTTGTATCAACTGCAATAAATTATGTTAATTATTTCAATTATTTTTCAATCAAAATAATCCTCAATGTCGATATTTGGATCTAAGAGATTCTCACCAAACATGCTTACATCCATTTGATTTAGAATCAAATTTTCTAATGTTTCCTCCAGGTCTGTCTCGCCGATCAACAGCGCTCCGTGGATTTTACCATGGTGCAGAACCACCTTAACATATTCCTGACCCATTGTGCACCTCAGCAACACTTCATAATCTGAGCCCAAACCCTGACCGTTATACTTCCCAAGGAGTATCACTTTATAACCGAAAAATGAAGTCACATGTGCAAACATCTCAAAGCAAAAGTCCATAAAATTTTCACTTCCATCCATGTCTGAAGTCATGCACTTTGCAGCATACGCACCCATTTGATTGGCTTGCGTCCAAAGTCGCATTTGCATCCAATAATCGGAATGTTCCCAGGATGCATTGCATACATCACCAGCAGCATATACATTGTTGATGTTTGTCCTCATATGTTTATCAACCATCAAGCCTCCATCTTCTGCAACGTTAAGTTCAGCACTGGCTACAAAAGCTTCGACATTTGGCATCACTCCTGTGGCTGATACAACAAAATCACAGCCAATAATTTTACCACTCTGTAATTCAAGGTATATGTTCCAGCCTGGTTCACGAAACATATCTCCGTGCAATATTTTAAATCGCTCTCTAGTAAACAAGTTTCGCACTTCAGAGTTGTACTCTACTGTCACATTTTTCTGCATTTTTTCATCAGTGCTGTACTTCCTGAAACTCAACTCCTCTTTCCAGCCAAATCCTAGTGCTGCTCCATAATTTGATTTTCCCTCTATGAAGGAGATAAACGTTATATACTATTGTGATTTTAGATGGTTATACATTGTCAAACCATTTTTACCAGATCTATCTTGACTTTATATTTCTCATTCTGTGGCACTTCAGTATACCTGCAATCATCTTGTCATCTTGAGAGTTTTGGGCACAACTTTCCTTATTTTTATTGCTCATTTCTTCTTGCAAGCTGCAACCTTGTTTTAAGCTTGAAAGAAAGAACTGAGCAGCTCCTTTGTCAAAATACGCATTTCCAATGGCATCGTCTTTTATGACCCATATAACTTCACATCCAGTTAGTTCATACCTGGAAAAACATCCTTTGGTCAGTAATTCTGTAAAAATACTCCTCCAAAGCACAGAAATGTCCCCAAAAGAGCTCTACTTATATTGCAAATACATGTTATAGTTGATGTGAAAGGATTTTAGTGACTAAACAGATATAAATATACTTAATATAGTTTATTTAATCTATTATTAGGTTAAAAAGTAACACTTACACAAGTTCTAATGATATTCCACCATTACCAACAATTACAACTCTTCTTGCTGTCGAAAGTCTGTTTTGAAAATCCTCAACACTTTGCAAGTCTCGTAATCCAAGAACATGTTCATTTTCCTTTACGATAAGATTTGGCCTTGCCCCCGTACAAATGCACAACTTTTTATACCAGTATTCTTTGTTATTGCTTGCCAATACCTTATGAGCTGAATGATATTAAATGGACTGCTTTGAAATACTACAGTTACAACTGTAAGAAGTTGGGTTCAGATTGAGTGCCAAGCAAAGCCAAGAGCTAAGAGGTCTAAGAGGTCTAGTACAGTAAAGGGTGCTAAATACAAATTTAATCCCTGGGATTAGGTCTTAGATTAGGTTTATGGTTGATTAGGGTTAACCCAAATCCTAAATCTAATCATGCTTCATCTCAAGGATTAAATTTAGGATTTAGTCCCAATTTACTAAGGACTTTTCTTATTCTGTGACTTTGTCAATGACAATGAGCAAGCCAGGCAAAATGTGTTTCTTTTTGGAAAACGTAGACATACCTTTATGATCAAACCCAATAACAGTAGTTTTAACAACAGTGACATTATGACAATCACTGGCCAAAGAGTTGAGTGGTTTCTCCTTTACTTCAAATTCTTCCAGAGTTCGTGCAAATTTCCTTATATTACAAACTGTCTTAACTAAATCTGTACTAGATATAAGACAAATAGTTCTATCAATGTTCAAACTGGATAAGTACTCTGTGCACGAGACGCCGGCTATACCTCCACCGACGACAATAAAATCGTAACTTTCTAACTCCTTTTCTTCCACATTGGCGGCCATATTGAATTCACTGCGCTGACGCTGAGCTATATATAGTGAGATGCATAATGGATGAATATAGACAAATAAAACGAGATGAAAGAAGATCAAATTTTATTATTTTTTTGGCCTGGTCAGTGGTAATTTACAAAACGCCAAAAAATTAGACCATATTTATTTATTGTACGCTTATTTCGCGATCAGCGCTTTTTCAGGCAGTGGTTGGGTCGATTGTCTCATGTATACACTATACAGTAATAAAAAAGTTTAAAAATTAGTACAAAATTCCAGGTTGAAAACTAACATGGCCGTAAGCAAGGTGAAAAGTGCTTGTGGAAATGCTGGATTAGTCCTATGGATTAGTTCCACCTTCTACAAATATTGCAAGGAAGCAATCTTTCCTGGTTTGTCCAACTTCAGAAAATGGATCAATGTTTCCTAGCTGTCCACCTTTTAAAAATCTACAGCGTTATCCTGTTTCTGATTGTGGCTAAAAAGAAATTTATTTTCTTCTTTGGATTTTGGAGGATTGTTTTGGGCCAAGCTACCAAGCGACACCATTAAACTGGTGATTCACACTTCCCTTCAACTAAACTCTTTACTCATACTGGACACTTGCGGAAATCTCCATTTGTTTCTCCAAGAACAAAAGTTGATCAACGAGAAAGCAGTCAGTTGGATGAGCTACAAATTTTCCAAGACCTTCAAAGATCGATTGCTCGTTCACTGTTTCCTCCGCATCAAACCGAACCTCCTTCAAGTATGCGTAGACCTTCTTAAAAGTCTTCTCACCTAGCATCTTGATGCATTCTCTGATAAGCGAATGAAGGAACCATATTAATATTTATCAAATTACGTCAATACTTATCCTATAGGTCCGCTAAATATAATGTGTAATCAGTTATCTCAAAAGGTTGAGAATAATTTCCGGAAAATTTCCGGAAATAGTACAGTTTCTGGGACACTTTCTGGAAAGCCGGAAACTGATTTCTCAAAACAAGTTGCTCGGGCATCGAATCCATCGATATTTTTTTGTAGCGAGTAACCTTCCAGGGGTTTGCACTTTCAAAAAAGTGATTAGGAAAAAAGTTTTATATAAAAACCCTAACAAAAGGATACTGTTTTAAAGCTAAAATCCTTTGCTGCCGTAACGTTTGAGAGGATCTTTCTTCCATAGTGTCGTCCTCGACAAGGGTTTCCTGTGTATCGAGTTCCAGGGCTGCCTGTAGCTGGTTGATCAGTGCGTGATGTTCGTCGTCCTCGTCTGTCCCTTCGGATCCACCACTGTCACCGTGGTCCTCGTCGTCCTCGAATTCATCGTCAAACTGAGAGTAATACGTATCTGCCTCCAGCATATCTTCAGGAATCGTCGTGACGTTTGTTAGCGTGAGCTCGTGTTCTAGGAAAGATTTCGTACACAACGTTAGAAACCCCGAGCGACAAAGTTCAATGGATAACGATTTTAGTAAATCATTATTAATCTCATAAATGATAATGGTCAATTTTGATCTATACATGCAGACTGAAATCCAACCGCACAGATGAAAAGAACACCAATCTTTGATGGTAAAATGATATGAAATCTGTCAAAAAATATCAAACTCTTTTCTGTCTGAGATGTTTATTTTAGAACAATGAATGCGGCAGAATACAATTCGTCCAACGATACCTTCGCTCGAAAGGGTGTCTTCAATCTCGTCCCGAGTCTCCTCCTCCTCCTCCTCTTGATCGCTTGCAATATGCCCACTGTCCCCGCTGCTGCTGACCACGTTCATTACACGTGACCTGTCGTTTAGCCCTGATAACCTTGGACTCTCCGCGCCTTCTTCGGAAATCTCCGCCAACTCACCGAACACATCCGGATGTTCGTCGACCCAAGGGAGTCCCACGGATACGCGAGACTGAAAACAGAAGTAAAATTAGATATAATACAAAATTCATGTGGCAACTCCATGTAATAACTGAGCTCTATATTCTTGATACTGGATGGCTCTATTATCTCCCTCCTATAGAGGAACATTACTTGCATTCTTTGCGTCCTAATCTGTCATTAGGCGAAATCATTGTCAATTCTGATACACAATCGTATCGACCCACAAAATAAATAACTGTACCTGTTTTTTCTTCACATGTGAAAATTGCTGTCGACTTTCCACGAACTGTTTTGCTGTGTACAGTCTAAAAAATATCATTGAAATACAAATAAGATTTGTCAAACACGGCAGTCATTTCAAACCGTTCTTTTTTATTTAACTAACTTCAATTTCTCAGCTTCGGCGTCGGCTTTCTCCTGTTTTCTTAATCTCATCTTCTCCCTACAAAAAAATACTCGAAGATGCATCTTTGGACTGCTTTTTAACTCACTCAAAACAAGGGTCAATAGAAAATGAGAGATTTCACTCGTAATATTTATCGCTCTAAATATACTGGCGTAAAAATTAGCAAAATTTAAAAATATACGTTTATCTTGCGAGTATTTGACTCTTACATTGGTGTCATTGGTCTCTTCAGAGGAGACTGATATTGACTTTCGCAAATTCCCTTTGTTCCTCTGTCAGAAGATAATTCGTAAGAAGGTAAAAGATAATATTAGCAAGTTTATTTACCAAAAGTTAGTTTGTAGCAATAAAAATCTTTGTGTTTACCACTTTACCTCACTTTGCTGCTGTTGGCTGCATTGTGCTGTTCAATCTTTGTTTTTATTTCCTTAAAATATTGCAGAAGAAATATTTGGTACATGATTACTGATATGCATCAAGTCAGGGGGGAGTGGACATTTCAGCATTTTCAAAATATAATTTCTTAAATTATTAACGAGAGTGTAGTATCACCCCCTTTCCCACCCCATTGCTATACTCCGGTCGAAAAATTTCCTGTGATAAAAACTTCTACCGTACCTTTACGTGTTTTGATATAAAAGTGTTTGTTAATAGTTCTGATGCAGAAGGTCTTTGGATTGGGTCTTTGCTTAACATACTAAAAAGTGAAACATTTCATTTTTTAACTAGACCATATATGGTTAACAAATTGACCTGGTTTTACCATTATTGCTTGTCATATATTTATTGCTCGTCATATATTTAGAGCATAGACTTGAAACCTTACCAACTATACAACTTTCTTAACTCAGGATGAAAGTTTTCTGGCAATGCCGGCGTTTCCCCTTCAAGAATCTTGTACATGATTCCCATCAGGTTCTGCAAGTTACATGTAAGAACTCAATAAAAACACCTGGACTGCTAACAGTCTTCAAACATATCTTAAAATAGAGGGGGGCTGCTGGAAAAATTTGAACTAATTAAAAAGCTTTTACCTCCCCTTTATAAGGCCGATCCAATGTACATAGTTCATAAAGGACAATACCCAAGGACCTAGAATAATGGAAGGTTAACCTTTACTTATCATAATTTCTCCAGTGAACCTCAAGCTGCAATATCTAAGTGAACAGTGTTTTTGAAAAATACGTTACCTATATTTATACCTACCAAATATCAGACTTGGAGTTATATCCTTCGTGTTTTAACAGTTCTGGACTCATGTAATACGGAGTTCCTGCGAATGTTGTTGCCATTTCCGACGTCCCCATAAGTACTCTTGAGATTCCAAAATCACCAATTTTGATCATGTTGTTCTTTAGAAATATATTCCTTCGATTCAGAAAACAGACATTGGATATATTTAAGTGAAGACGTTTGATGGTTTAATATTGTGATGGTGCTACTCTGAGATACCAACTGGGCAAGCTTAAAAACTAGCTTAAAAAATGTGGGAATCAAATCCATGACCTTTGGTTTTCTAGTTCAATATACTCTAGAAACTAAGCCACTAGGTCAAGTTCCACTTATCTGCCTGTCTTAAAGTGATAGTGACACCTGAGTCATACGCATCATCACATTAGTCATGTAGATCTGATTCTAACCCATAAAATTGAATGTAGTCGTGCGATTTTTAGATAAATGGATTAGCATACCCTGTTTTAAGATCTCTATGAAGAATTTTTCTATAAGGCAAGAATAAGAGGCAAAATTAGCTGCAGAATTAACATTTATACAAGGCAGGAAAAACTAGTTTTTTTTCTGACATTGTACTTACTTTTTATGGATGAATTGAATAGCTAACAGCAATTGTATGAGCCATGCAATGATAAGTGATTCTTGAAATGTCTTTCCTGCTTTTTTCCATGCCTTTATTTTATCAGTTAAATCACCTCCCTAAAGTTAACAGTAGAGAGGGAACGTAGTGTAAACTGAAAAAGATTTTGTTACCTATTTTGTTACAATATCTCAAAAATAAGATGTCATGTCAAATGAAAAAGGTTCCTTCAGGCACATGCATATCAACCTTCAGGCACTTACAAGCCGAGTGTTCTTTACCTCACAAAATTCTGTTACAATATAAAAAGATTCCATATGAACAAAACTGTTCAAATATTTTACAATGTTTGGATGCTCAAGCTAGAGATAGGAATAGAAACAATTATATCAGATTGGATTTCTAAATTGGAATTCAAATAAAAAAAACTAGAACTGAATGATCAAAGGAAAGCTAGTGGAAGTGGTTTTTGAGCCAATTAAATTTAACATAATATCAGTTGCACATCAATAACCTGTGATAGCATCTCAGCCTCTCTTTTAGCAGAAAATGTCTCGTCCTCCTTTAATTCGCCAATAGATATCTCTTTCAACACTTTCCTTTAAAGTGATCAATCATAATACAACATTGGCTTTGAAAATTACATGTTAAAGAAAAAGCAACTGTTGGTGAAATGGCATTGATAAGGCATTTATTATATTTGTGCAATTACTATACTATAGTATACTATCTATGCCATACAACTTTTCTTGTTGGAGAATATACCACCGTGCAGTGAAACGATGAGTCAACAAAGTTTTTCGCAATACAATCAAAAGATAGTATTGAACATTTAAAAGCGAGTAAACAAAGTAAAAAAGTGCTAATTGCATCTATCTTTATTAGTTTATTAACCGCGAGTATCTTGAAATTATAGACAGAGTAACCAAGCATAAGTTGGTTATGGGTTATTAGTAAAACACAGTAATCAAATTAAACTATATACACATGTATTGACAGCATTAAACACAATCTAATCCACAAGTACACTATACTCACATGTCTTTATCATCTTTTAAGTCTTCAACAAGAAACACCGTCCCAAAATTACCGCTTCCAATTCTTTTCACAACTTTATAACGATTTACATAAACCCTTCCAGCACACGAGCTTTTCGAGGCCAGACTTTGTGGTATTTTCTTGGGCAAAGGCATTGTTAGCTTAACTTTTCCCTAATCCTTTAAAACACTACAATAGCCGAAGCTCCAACACAGATTTCAACATGTTAATTTGACGATCATTTCAACACTGTAATACTTCCCGCAAACCTCAGCAAATGTGATGCACTTTTTACTCATTCAAACAACTTCACCAGCTACGAAAAGACAACCATTTTACGAGTAATTCCTTGCGAAAAAACGGTCATAAAAATGTACATCAACACTCTCCATATTTCTAGTTTACGGGACGTTCCAAATCGGGATAAACAAACACTGGACAAAAACGTACTCCCCCCCCCGGGAGAAGAATGATGAGGATTGTGTAACCTTTGCATGCAGTATATGTACTGTGTACTTATAAAATAAGATCATATTAAGAAGATTTAGCGTCATAATACAGTAAAATGACGTCGGGAAGCATTAAAGCCAACTTAAAAAGTTGGTCGAAACGCAAAATCTCAGCCAATGAACGCTGGAGAAGAGACTTAGGCCTGCGAGTAGGCGTTGGAGGGCATTTCATAGTAACACCCATTCGCAGTTAAAAACCCATACTCAAAGAGACAGCTGGGAAGGCTCTCACACATATATTGTCCATCTGCAACTCTCAACTTCATATGTTTACAATTTTAGGCGGATATCAAATTGAGAGTTTTGAGAATGTCCCCAAGAGACATTCTGTGAAACCAAATGAAAACCTGCCTGTATATATGTATGTATTATATTAGTCCCAAAAATTTTCCTCAATTTCAAAAAAAAACGTATCTCAAAGCATTTGATGAGCATCGTCTATGGGAACATAAGTGCAAAAAGATAACTTATCAGCGTTGCCTAAGATATGAATACATCTAGTTCTGAAATTATGCAAATCAAACCTCTCGCCCACACTGCCGGATCGATGTTTCATTTGACTGAATACAAGTCTTGTTTTCCTGCTGTGAAACGCTGTTTTAAAAACCCCATACTGAGCATAATGATTAATGTTCCTACTTTCTGACTGATAACTATTGCTCCGGTTCAAAGTCAGTCCTAATCAACAACTAACTCTAAGGTCAAACAAAATTCTTCATCAATTTAAAATATTTGCCTGCCAACCGAATAATTTCCAAACATTTTCTGTTTAAGTAAATTAAAGAAGACGAACAATAAATAACTGAAATGCTTCATTTATGATTGCAATTGTCGCTAAATTTGCAAAGGGCAGACATTGCTCGTATTGTTACCGGCCGCAAAACAGTTAAACACTTTTGTTCTGCGAATTCATTTGACAAAAACACTTGAAAGTTATACTTTGGGAACGTGTTACGGTCTTGAGAGGCCACTAAAGAGAGCGAATTCCTAAGTTAGTGAACGGATGTTTGCGTATACAGTCATTAGCAACTGGCAGCTGTCTGGTTTGCGAATTTGTGGTAGATATATATGTACATTTTAACGAAGAAGTAATTATAAAATCGAGCTGACGAGCTGCGAAACACGAGAGTCTGTTTTGTCTAACAAGCACTGCAAGAATTCATCATACGTTATCCCTGAAACATATAACGATTTGAGTTCGCCGTGTGTGAACGGTGATTCAACCGAAAGCTGATTTCAAGCCTAAAAACTTTGGCCGACAATATGTCACAAAAGGTAGGCTGGCTAATCTCGGGTTATCACTTCTCCATATTGGAGTGAAATTAAAGGAAAGTTCGATTACGGGCAATGGTTTTGGATGCACAGTTGGATTAAATCATGTATATAACATGAATAGTATGTACTAGCGATTAAACATGTATATAATGATAATATAGACAGTATAATATAATCGTATTACTGTGGCTGAAACCAATAAGGATTTATTTAAAATGACGCGCGATTCTTTGATTGTTACGTACTCCGTAGTCCGTACTCTTATGAGACTACGTTTAAGATGATAAGCGATGTAACCATGTAACATCTAATCAAAGCGGTCATGTCACAGACAGGTATTTCAACGTATACGCCTAATTTTATTGCCTGTAAAATCACGGTATGTAAACCCTCTTTGTTAGTAAATGTCTTAAACAAACAATCTGTTAAGATGTAATGAATTTATATGCACGCGGCAAATTGTGTCCGAAAAACTATTTGAATGTTTCTGAGATTGACCTCTTAATGGCTATGTTCCGTTATGTTCGTTAAACGGTTATCAGTGTCTATTGTGTTGTGTTATATGAAATGCCATACTGCATGATATATTTATATACAGTTGCATTTATGATGGCAAATGAAGTGTACCATTGTATGAAAATTTTATGAGAAAATGCGAGTTTTCAGTATAGTAGACCTTTTCCTTTTCAAACGCGCAAAGCGTGATGCATGTCAATTGTAGAAATTCTGAGTTGTGGTCGCTGTGTTCATATAACCAAGAAAAATGGACAAGGTTTCTTCACAAACCGAAGTTACTTCTGAACACAGCGATATCACAACTTCAAATGACTTTGATTATCAGCTACTGTCACGCCTTGCGCTCTTGAAAGATCTGCTGAATTCTCACTGATTGAAAAATAATTTATATTGTACTTAACAGCTGCATGGCTAACTGGCATATACGCAAGTAACATCGCTTGGTGTGTTTATAGAATTGAGACTGTATATGTACTGCATGCTGGGCGAACCTTCAGCTTACGAGTTTCTTATATATTACAGTTGAACGAAGTTGAAAAGGAATGGCTGTTCAGTTTTGCTTGTTCTCCTGAATGTCACATACAAAACGTCAAAGATCTATTAAAGAAGAATCCCAATCTTGCAACGATGAAGGTATAAACGTTCATCGATTTTTCCCTGAAATTTATACTTGTACGTGCAAGATATATGAACATCACGATATAGTACTAGTTCATGCTGTTTTAAATATAATTTATTTTTCAATATTTCATCTCAATTTGTTCCTCTTGAATCAGGATTTTGTCTGGGTAAGTTGAAGAATGATATTTCACTTCGATCATTTCTGTCAGTCTTGTTGATTTAATCATAGATGCATCACAGTATGAAATATCACAAAATTCTCATTTTCGTTTTTCTTTCTTTTTTCTCCGGGTTCATATAAATTGTGTATTTCATCTGAACGGCACGATTGCCAGGGGGTATGTATCAGCGTCATTTCATTTGCTTTAAAGCAGAATTTTCAACAAAACTTATTGCTTTTCCAATATTTCTATGTTTATCATACGATTCTATCTGATATGTACACGGTGACGTCTACAGTACGTAAGTAATCCGAGTTTAATTATCTTGAATATGGAAATATCGAAAGTGAATATTGATATTTATAACAGAAGGAACTCATAATTTCACCTGCATGATGACGCCATTGCTTCATAATTTAATGAGAAACTTGTCGATCGCAGCATTTCCACCTTCAAAATGTATTTTCCATCCATCAGACAGCGCTTCATTGGGCCGCAAGGAACGGCAGCATCGCCCAGGTGGACTTCTTGTTAGCGAATGGAGTGGACCCGGAAATTCAAACTGTATGTAAAGCACTTTTTGCTATTGTTGCACTATTTTAAAGCCACGTATAGACCACCATAGCCGTGAAATCGCTAGACCTTTTCATGAAGTACATAATCTGTCTCTTTATCATATTATTATTATAGACTTTCTCTATCAAAGCAACCTTCTAGTTTTTTTAATATGACTTGCATTGTTTTGTAAAATCATTATTTAATGGTATATGTGATTTGAAAATACGACTTTCTTATCTTTAATTTCTTTTATTTCATGGAATGGTGATGCACACATCTACAGAATGTAAGTTTTAACAAAATTTTGTATCTTTGCTTTATATACCGTAGTTTTTTAGTGAAATCTGAGATGAAAATCATTCATGTAGTAGTTTCCTTACTAATAAGGAAAACTTTCTGTTAACTTTTATATTTCGTGGGAATTGATATCTTTCTTGGTGTGATAAGGGGGTAAGTAAATATGATCTTGGCATAATCGCTATCGAAATCATATTTGAATAAATTGCATTCGATGTCGTGAGTTTGTGAATTTTGTGCAAATCTTTCAGGGTTACACGGCTCTTCATTTGGCTACCATGTTTAATCACAATGATGTTGTGTTGCTGCTCCTCGATGATTACAGTAAGTTTTTCCACCACTAAATAAATCTATGAGTTTCTTGAGGGAGCTATACCAGCATCTGTGGTTAACCAATGGATCCCACACACGGATCTGTAATTAATCTTCATCAACTGGACTGCAGAGCTCAGAGAAACACTGGGATCACAGTCGAGCCCGTAGGCCCTAAAATTGCATTTCTCGCGATTGTCTCTTGTCGCGTCCAAAATCTGTATCAATTTTCGTGCGAGTGTTTCCATCTTCACTCCGCTATTCTTGTATCCCAAGCGCGTATTTGCCATTTTTCGGCGAATATGACCATGGTCGTATTTGCCATTTTCCGGCGAATATGACCATGGTCGTATTTGCCATTTTCCGGCGAATATGACCATGGTCGAGTTAGTCGTTTTCCGGGGAACTCGACCATGGTCGAATTAGTCGTTTTCCGGCGAACTCGGCCATGGTTGAGTTAGTCGTTTTCCGGCAAACTCGACCATGGTCGAGTTAGTCGTTTTCCGGCGAACTCGACCATGGTCGAGTTAGTCGTTTTCCGGCGAACTCGACCATGGTCGAATTAGTCGTTTTCCGGCGAACTCGACCATGGTCGAATTAGTCGTTTTCCGGCGAACTCGACCATGGTCGAGTTAGTCGTTTTCCGGCGAACTCGACCATGGTCGAGTTAGTCGTTTTCCGGCGAACTCGACCATGGTCGAGTTAGTCGTTTTCCGGCGAACTCGACCATGGTCGAGTTAGTCCTTTTTCCGGCGAACTCGACCATGGTCGAGTTAGTCGTTTTCCGGCGAACTCGACCATGGTCGAGTTAGTCGTTTTCCGGCGAACTCGACCATGGTCGAATTAGTCGTTTTCCGGCGAACTCGACCATGGTCGAATGAGTCGTTTTCCGGCGAACTCGACCATGGTCGAGTTAGTCGTTTTCCGGCGAACTCGACCATGGTCGAGTTAGCCGTTTTCCGGCGAACTCGACCATGGTCGAATTAGTCGTTTTCCGGCGAACTCGACCATGGTCGAATTAGTCGTTTTCCGGCGAACTCGACCCTGGTCGAATTAGTCGTTTTCCGGCGAACTTGACCATGTTCGAATTAGTCGTTTTCCGGCGAACTCGACCCTGGTCGAATTAGTCGTTTTCCGGCGAACTCGACCCTGGTCGAATTAGTCGTTTTCCGGCGAATATGACCATGGTCGTATTTGCCATTTTCCGGCGAATATGACCATGGTCGTATTTGCCATTTTCCGGCGAATATGACCATGGTCGCGACCGCCGACCGTCATGATTTTCCTTGTTAAATTTTCCTCTCAGGAGCTTGTGTCGATGCCAGGGATAACAGTGGCAAGCGACCAAAGGATTATCTCAAACGAAACGCGATGCCCTCAGTTAAAAGTAAGCTAATCAACAACGTTTGTTTAATCCTTTCTTCGAGATTCTTTTCAGCGCGAGACGATGTGATTAGTATGTTGGAAAAACGCGCTAAATTCATCCTTTCATTTTACTTAGATAAACTACAAGGACTCGATTCATGTAAGTGATAGGAAAGGGGTGACTAAAACCTTCATTTTATTCTCATGTTAGATACTGGAGGTCGAGGAATAATCGCTTTTTCTTCACCTAATATCACTCGTGGAAGAACTACCTTCCATTAACCTTGACAGAAAACATGATTTCAAGACTTTATTTTGCCTTCGAATCGCTGGATAACTTTATATACCATGCAGTTCTAAATTATACTAACTCTCTACAACTAGATATTTTAAAACATTCATTAGTTGTTACAACAGCGGAGTTTGCAAACAAATAACACCAGCGCGCAGTATCTTGTTGACAGTCAATCAATTTCTCAATGTTTGTTCTTAATCATATTTTTTTCAAAAGGTCCACGAGAAAGCAGTGAAAAACCGATGACAAACATCAGCAACATGTTTTTACAAATGTGTTCGGTGAATTCACTCAAAGAGGATGTCTGTACTGAAGAAAGAAATGTTTTTATGTCGCCATTTTTTCTACCTAATCCTGAAATAAAGACGATTAAGTTGAAGGTAAGGTATTCATTTTCATACGTGGGGAGTCTTGTGAAAACGTTTGCCTGGGAAAGTCGCAATAATTCCCTCGAGCGTTTCGTTTTAATCTAAGTCATCCTCTATGAGATATATTTAAATTATAAATGTTCCTGCAGAGTCCCACAACACGTCGTTCACGAGTAAACACAACATTTCGAAAAGTTCGACCGAAGTTGAAGAAAACGACAAAAGTTGCCGTGGATGACGAAGAAAACCTTGAGGCAAAAAAGAGGATAGGGTCACCTGTTCCCATGAGGAATAACTTCCTGGATTTCTCAGGGTGAGTCGCCAATTGCATGTTTTCGGATTTTTCGAGATATCTATTAATGTTTTTTGTTTTGTAGGGTTCCACGACAGGAAAGAGCGAGATCTGAGCCAGATGTTGGCAGACTTCTAGAGCAAATGCAAACAAGCATGGACGAAAGATGACACATTAAACTTGAGTAAACGGATGATCGTTTAGTCAAAGAAAGATCGTTCATTTAGTCCTCTGTCAAAGAAAGATCGTTCATATAGTCCTCTGTCGAAGAAAGATCGTTTCTCACACACAGAATGACCCTGAAATGAATTTTATGATTTGATGGGATAACGAAAAATGTTGGTTAGATTTCCACACAAAAACGTGAATCAATCTTAAAAATAACAATGAAATGAAAAAGAAAAGAAAAATCCTTGGTGTGGCAATTATACAGCCATGAGCTAGGAAGTACAATTACATGGACTGAGAGTATGAAAATTTATACGGCCATTGACATTCTAAATTCAAAATATTCACACTATGGACTTACATGCAGTTGTTATATTATAATCTTCAAAAATCATTCTAAACTAATTGTTCTAACGAATTGCGTATTGATCTAAAAGTTACGAATTGAAAGATTCTTTAGTATATTTAGGGTTTAATAATAACATAATGTGAAAGTTTAAACAGATAGTTTCTTTATGACAAAGATTTTTCATCAACATATTCCACTTCATCCACTTTGATGGACGACTTGCGCTTTAGACTAATTTCCCACCTCGGCGATAAAAAGGACATTTTCTGAAAGAGCTTATTAAAATTAGTAAAACTACCACGTTTCGCTGCATGCGAATTGTTGTAAATTATGGAAAATATAGCCATGCGAAGTTCACGAATTTTGTATACTTTTGCATTACAACCGGAAGTTTGTAACTAATTTAGTTACACATTTCCACACGTAATACAAAAGTATACAAAATATGCCAACTTCGCATGGCTATATTTTCCATATTTTACAAAATTTCGCAGCCAAACTTTGCATTTGCACTAATTTAAGTAAGATCTCTCTAGCTGTGATGATTTATTTTCTTCTCAGTAGTTACTTCGATCAAAAATTTGTCTAAAGCGCAAATCGTCCATTCATCCTAATAGCTTCCTCTCGCCAGTAACTGTCGGTCATATTCCAGTCATCAGACCAATTTACAGGATATTTTTTACGTTGCGTGGCGTCTACATAATCTTTGCATTGTTTCACCAGTTGTTCGGTGATAGCGAGGTTACTGATGTGAACACGACTGGGAGCTAAACTATCTTCGAAAACGACGTTACCAAGAATTTCGCGATGAGAGTTATTTGGCAAATCGTAACTAACCAGGCTGACTTTGGTCAAGCGATCCAAGGATGTTTCCCGAGGCTGGAAATGAATTTGAACAGAAACAAAACGGCTCGAGACTTGTGCATCTTTCACAAGAAAGAGAGCCAGTGGTGTACAATGCCTTGTAAACTTCAGTTTGAAATCCACGATTTCAAATTTACGCTGCGACAGAAACTCTGTAGCTTGCACAGATGTGTACGCTGCGTTATATCTTAACTGGGAAAAATGGATAAAGCAAAATTTAAAGAATCCAGCGTCGTGAAAGAGCGTCAGGGGAGGGTCTTGGAACTCCACTGTTGGACAATCTATGGTTGAACTTAACTTGTCCAATGGCATTGTAGTCGCTGCTTCGGGAGACGGCAGGTGAAGATGTCTGTATCCAATCTTTTCTACATCACTTTTAAGCTTCCAATCTCGCTTCAGATGCCGAAGAATGTCGCGGTTTTCTGGTTTGTTGAAGTGGATAAAACACGAAGCGAAATAGCCAACAAAATTCACTTCGTCGCTTCCACAGGCGGACTGTACAGTCACACCACAACCGTTCTGATTCAGCGGACTTTCCTTGTGGGCCAACTTTTGTAAATCTTTAACCAAAATCCCAGAGAAACAGCTGTCAGCTATTACCACCAGATGCTTGTTCTTCGTCGTGGGCGATCTTGTCAAAGCTGTGATCCACGGTTCAAGAAGACCTTCCAAATCACAATAGCCAAATCTCTCACCCAAAACAAACTCACCACCTTTCAGATATCGTTCTGGCGTTATATGCTCTTCCCCAGGTCTCAGATCTTCTTTGGAAATCCCAACATCCTCAAGATTCGGAGAAGAGAGTGTGGATTCTGCATCTTGCTTATCTATCTTCTTAATGTTAAGACCATGGCCGGTAAAATACAACAGCATCGTCTGTGGATCAGATTGATTGCAAAATGGGTGAAGTAAAGTATTGAACGCCACATCAACGAGTATTTTAAACCGCTTTTCTGGATCCGAAGCAATCACCTTTTTTGTATGAAAGTGTTTCGATGAGGTCAGCCAGTTTCGAACTACCTGGAAATCCAAGCAATGGAAAGTTTCAGGAGAGCTAAGTATGACGCTTTGGTTTAATTTTATTGTTCCTTCGCCGCCGTTGTTCACAGAAGTTGCTTTGCAAAGAGTCCTTGAGTAGTTTTTTATTAGATTTCCAAAAAAAAGACGGAAATCTACCAATTTAAACATTCTACACAAATTGGTCACGCGATCCAAACGCTTCTATATCTCTTATCGCTTAGGTTTAGTTGATTTTATCTGTGATTTTATTCACACACTTGACAAAGCGAAACTGAGAGTTAAACAAAAAAATACATAGACACCCTGCCTGTTTCACAGCAAGTGTAATATGAATGTCGGCATGCATGAGATTTGAGAATTACAGCCGTCTCTGACAGTTTACAATGTTATGGGTATATTAACTTCGGGTCTTCGGCAGTGCTATGATAAAAGATAAAAACAGGCAGTTTGTTTTCCGGCCGTTGAATGAACATCAGCTTTTTCTGCAAATATTATTTACAACATGGATGAGCGGCGTCGTGTTGTGCATGAGTTAAAATAAACGCGGATGTGAATCGACTTCTGCTATGAGTCGATTGGAAAATATATTTCAGAAATAAACATTGTCATTTGATCAATCAGTCATGCAATTATATAGTCAGTTTTATGAACATGGGGGTACGCTCTATCAGATAAATTAAAGAAAACAAACTGCTGAAACTGGATCGGCAGTATTCCATATTTTCGTGTCTTTATTATTTGTATCAAGGGTGAATTCAACATCCTTTACCAACCCTGCCCCATAATTACCATAACCTAACACTATGACTTCAACTGAATAACATGGTTGCCGACATGCATTACCATAATATGTTATAATTAAATTATACGTTAAAATGTACTAAAATTTATTTTACACTATGCTTCAGCAAAGATTCGTGTTAAAAATTTTAAATTTAGAGGACTTGCATACTACACACCTTGTACTTCATGAGAATATAAGTCATACGTCCTAATCACATGAAATCCTGAAACCCTAATGATGATTATATCTGATCAAAACTCAGGATTTTTATGGTGCTAAAACTCATCAGTTCTAGATACTATTAATCTAATCAATCGATGGTTCTTTCTGATCTTATCTCATCTGCTTCTCTTGTAGAAATAGCATTGCCAGTATAATACAACAACACCATCTCTGGGTCCGCATTATTGCGGAATTGAGAAAATAAAGTCTTAAACGCCACATTTACAAGTATTTTGAACGTTTTCTCTGAAGTTTTCATTTCAACTGTATCCGTGTCAATGGGTATCCCCACAAGATGAAAGCAATTCGATGCTATCAGCCAGTCATGAACTATACTTGATATCTATAGAATACAAGCGCCCGGGAGAACGGAGTATAGCGCTTTGGTTTAACATTTGTGTTTCTTCACCACCGTTGTTCACTGACGCTTTTAGAAGGATCCATACTGAGAGTATGAAAATTTATACGGCAATTGACATTCTAAATTCAAAATATTCACACTATGGACTTACATGCAGTTGTTATATTATAATCTTTAAAAATCATTCTAAACTAATTTTCTAACGAATTGCGTTGATCTAAGTTATACGTATTGAAAGATTCTTCAGTATATTTAGGGTTTAATAATAACATAATGTGAAAGTTTAAACAGACAGTTTCTTTATGACAAAGATTTTTCATCAATATATTCCACTTCATCCACTTTAATTCATCCTAATAGCTTCCTCTCGCCAGTAACTATCGGTCATATTCCAGTCATCAGACCAACTTACAGGATATTTTTTACGTTGCGTGGCGTCCACATAATCTTTGCATTGTTTTACCAGTTGTTCAGTGATAGCGAGGTTACTGATGTGAACACGATTGGGAGCTAAATTATCTTCGAAAACGACGTTACTAAGAATTTCGCGATGAGAGTTGTTTGGCAGTTCGTAACTAACCAGGCTGACTTTGGTCACGCGATCCAAGGATGTTTCTCGAGGCTGGAAATGAATTTGAACAGAAACAAAACAGCTGGAGACTTGTGCGTCCCTCACAAGGAAGAGAGCCAGTGGTGTACAATGCCTTGTAATCTTCAGCTTGAAATCCACGATTTCGAATTTACGCTGCGACAGAAACTCTGTAGCTTGCACAGATGTGTACGCTGCGTTATATCTTAACTGGGAAAAATGGATAAAGCAAAATTTAAAGAATCCAGCGTCGTGAAAGAGCGTCAGGGGAAGGTCTTGGAACTCCACTGTTGGACAATCTATGGTTGAACTTAACTTGTCCATTGGCATTGTTGTCGCTGCTTCGGGAGACGGCAGGTGAAGATGTCTGTATCCAATCTTTTCCACATCACTTTTAAGCTTCCAATCTCGCTTCAGATGCTGAAGAATGTCGCGGTTTTCTGGTTTGTTGAAGTGGACAAAACACGAAGCGAAATATCCAACAAAATTCACTTCATCGCTTCCACAGGCGGACTGCACAGTCACACCACAACCGTTCTGATTCCACGGACTTTTCTTGTGTGCCAACTTTTGTAAATCTTTAACCAAAATTCCAGAGAAACAGCTGTCAGCTATTACCACAAGATGCTTGTTCTTCGTCGTGGGCGATCTTGTCAAAGCTGTGATCCACGGTTCAAGAAGACCTTCCAAATCACAATAGCCAAATCTCTCATCCAAAACAAACTCACCACCTTTCAGATATCGTTCTGGCGTTATATGCTCTTCCCCAGGTCTCAGATCTTCTTTGGAGATCCCAACATCCTCAAGATTCGGAGAAGAGAGTGTTGATTCTGCATCTTGTTTATCTATCTTCTTAGTGTTAAGACCATGGCCGGTAAAATACAAGAGCAACGTCTCTGGATCAGATTGATTGCAGAATGGGTGAAGTAAAGTATTGAAGGCCACATCAACGAGCATTTTAAACCGCTTTTCTGGATACCAAGCTATCACCTTTTTTGTATGAAAGTGTTTCGATGAGGTTAGCCAGTTTCGAACTGCCTTGAAATCCGAGCAATGGAAAGTTTCAGGGGAGCTTAGCATGACGCTTTGGTTTAGTTTTAATGTTCCTTCATAGCCGTTGTTCACAGAAGATGCTTTGTAAAGAGTCCTCGAGTAGTTTTTGATTAGATTTGCAAAAGGAAGACGGAAATCTACCAGTTTAAACATAGTCGTAATTGTTACACGAGTTCTTAAAATTGTAGTTTCCTTAAGTTTACAATGTCACGACTATAT